TATTTAAAATTCTTTCTTTTCCCTTAGGAGACTGGTGAGGCACTGCCTCCCCTGCCTCTAGTGACTGCACCTCCCTGATGGATTCCAGTATTTTAAGTTTATTATGGTTAAAACCAAAGCAGCCATTACAAAGAAAATCTGCAAACTTTGGCACCCAACCAGAAAGAGCTGAGTTGCAAAGGGAAATAAAGATGGAACAGAATAGCAGACTTGGAAAGGACCTTAGAGGTCTTCTAGTCCAGCCTCCTGCTAAAGCTGGAGACTATTTATAAGACATATTTATAAAATATAACTGAAGGGAGGCTTTCAAACCAAGACTAATAACGATTGGGATGTTAACTGAGAATACAAATTGATTGGAGCTTTGGAAGGAACATCCGGAGAAATGACAGGCTGCAACTCTTCACAGAGATCTTTTACAGGTAGTCCTCATTTACTGGCCACTTGTTCAGTGACCATTCAAGTTCTCTTAGCTCTGAATAATGAGACTTATGGCCAGCCCTTTGCAGCTATTGCACTATTGCTGCAGTAATGTGATCTCAATTCGGCAACCAATGCAGAGTTCCAGTGGGAAAGTAGCATCACATGATTACCATTTGCAACCTTCCCAGCCAGCTCCTGGCAAGCAAAGTCAATGGGGAAACTGGCAGAAAATCTTAAGTCACAGTCGCATGATTCCCTTAACAAGGAAACTGGAACTGACAAACTGCTACCCTGAGTCAGGCACAGTCATGTTGTATTTCACTTTACAACTCCATCCCTTACTGATGGAGATGCCAGTCCTAATTCCAGTGGGTAAGTCAGCACTACTTGTCCTTAAGAATTCAGCTTTTTTACACACACACACACACACACACACACACACACACACAAAGAGAGAGAGAGAGAGTATTAAAATATATATAGTATACATATCAACAAAGCCATCACATTTACTTCACGCTAAGAATGCATACACACAGACAGACACACACAGAGAATATGTATTAAAATGTATAAGGTATACATATCAACAAAGATGCCAAGAATGTATCGGTGGTGAGATTCAACATTTTAAACTACCAGTTCTGTGGGTGTGGCTTGATGGGTGTGGTTTGGTGGGCATGGCAGGGGAAGGATACTGTAAAATCTCCATTCCCTCCCCACTCCAGGGGAAGGTTACTGCAAAATCCTGATCAGCTGGGATTTTGGAGGCAAAGAATAGATGGGGGCAGGGCCAGTCAGAAGTTGTATCTGCCGGTTGTCCAAACTACTCAAAATTTCCACTACTGGTTCTCCAGAACTGGTCAGAACCTGCTGAATACTACCTCTGGAATATGTATTAAAATGTATAAGGTATACATATCAACAAAGCCATCACACTTACTTCACGATACGAATGCTTACGCTTATGTTCCGAGACTCCACTTTAAATGTCTGTTGAAACTGTGAAAGTTTAAAACAACACAAGTAAGAATCAAACTGAAAATCGGGATTTATTTTTAAAAAATGAATGGGGATGGGAACACCTCAACAGATACAGATACAAAGGTGAATTACAGTACTTTAACAAAGGAGATGTGTATAAACATGGATATGAGTTTGGATGCAACACTTAAACTAAAACAAGGTTTAACATTAAGAGGAAAAGTTACCCTCTAGAGAGGAGTTCTGCTCTGTTGTAGTCCTGCCACAGCTTCTCATGATGTTCAAATCTAGCCAAACCAGGATTACTGGACCTAACTTTAAACTATGACTTGTGCAATTGGTTTAGTTCTACTATCCATATTTAAGAGTAACCATAGTCTAAGATTTGGACATAAGATGTTTCGGATTGCCTTTGCAATTCTTCCAAAGCATTAGAGGAGAGAGAAAGCATGGAGGCCAAAGCTAATACAAGCAGTCCTCAACTTACAACAGTTACAAAGTTACAAAGGCACTGAAAAATGTGACTTATGACTGTTTTTCACACTTACGACAGTTACAGCATCCCCTTGGTCACACGATCAAAATTCAGACATTGGGCAATTGATTCATATTTATGACAGTTGCAGTGTCCCAGGGTCATGTGACCACCTTTTACAATCTTCTGACCACTAAACTCAATAGGGAAGCCATATTCACTTAACAACTGTGGCAAGAAAGGTCATAAAATGGGGAAAACACACTTAACAAATGTTTCACTTAACGACCTAAATTTTGGACTCAATTGTGGTCATAAATCAAAGACTACCTGTAAGATGTTGTCTGCATAACACTAGAATTTAGTCTGGCAAAACTGGATTATTCCAAGATATAAAACAATTGATCTAAAAGAATAATCCATTTTAAAATGTTTCCAACTAAAATATGTGAATAGATAGACAGATAGAGATAGATGGATGATGAGAGAGGGAGGAAGGGAAGCAGGNTAATGATCTTTGTTTTGTTCTTATTAATTTTAAGACCCGCTACCTTACCGAATTCCTCTATTTTTTGGATTAATTTAATTCTTGATTTTAATGGATCCTCTAATATGAATACCATATCGTCCGCAAATGCCTGTGATTTATATTCCTCTTTTTTAATTGTTAATCCCTTTATTTCTTGATTGTTTCTAATTTCTGCTAGTAGAACGTCCAGTGAGAGGATAAATAATAAAGGTGATAAGGGAACCCTGTCTCACTCCTTTCTATATTTTAACGTCTTCTGTAGTGTCACAATTTATTATTATTTTTGCTGTCTGGGCCAAATTAATTGATTCTATCATTTTTATAAATTTTTCTCCAAATCTCATCATTTTTAACTGTGTGATTATGAAATGCCAATTCAAGTTATCAAAGGCCTTCTGGGCGTCTAAGAAGACCAGTGCAACTTGTTTTCCTGGATTCTCTTCATAATATTCTGGTGTATTTATAATTATCCTCATGTTGTTTTTTAATTGACGTTTTGGTAAGAAGCCGTTTTGATCTGTGTGGATAATTTCATTTAATAGTTTTTAATTCACTCTGCCATTATTGAGTGCTTCATTAAATAAGTCTATAATCACTGTTTCTGTCTGCTCTTGCATGGCTTTATAAAATTCTACAGGTATACTGTCTGGGTCTGGTGTTTTATTATTTTTTTGTCTCTTCAATGCTTCCTTTAATTCTATTACTGTGATTTTTTTGTTTATTGTTTCTCTTCTCTCTTCTTCTATTTCATGTAGATTCCTTGTATTTAAGTATTGTTTGATATTGTCTTGTAATATATTTTCTTTGCTGTACAAATTCTCAAAAAATTTCTGTACTATTTTATTCTATTCTATTCAAATTAGCTTTGCTTAAGCAACCATCATGTCTGCATGCTGACTTTTGCTGCTTATTTTATTTCTTTCATTTTATTTCCTCCTTATTCCTGCCTCCAGCTTTCACTCCACCTCCCTCTCTAAACCAGAGATTCGCTCTGGGACTTCATTTTACATTTTTGTCCTCTAAAGCACTTGGCAAACTAACAACCAAAGTGGTATGCAATGATTTTACTCTTTTAAAGTTGCAGTCAAGTTTTGGGAAATAAAGAAGATGCAGGGCATTTTTTGATCCTCTCCTGTTCTCTCACATAAAACCTGCACATTGTGTTCATACTAAGTCCAGTTCTAATTTCAAATATCGTATCCAAACGTTGGGCTATACTTCTTCAGCTATCAGCTAAGAATTCACTTGCCTTCACTAAAAACATGGCAGTCTATGTTAAAGGCTATTAAACATTATAATGAAAAGTAAATTCTCAAAAGGGAGAACAAGTGCACTTTTGGTAATCCCCCCTGAATTATGCAAATCTATTTGACAATGAATGTTTTTGGGGAGAAGGGGGGAAAGCAATTTTATAGATAGTAGATTCATTCAGTAGACAACATAACTATGCAGGCCCCAGATAAATAACTCTTACTTACCAGCACTAAGCTCGGTGTTGTATGTCAAATAGTCAGTCATGGTTTGGGAGGATGGCCTTATATACCCTGATAAGAAAACATAAGGTATAGATATGTTTCGGATAAGAAGAGTGTTGAAAACAAAGAAAAGAATAAGTACTGTTGTTTTTGTTCAGTCGCTAAGTCATATCCAACTTTTTGTGACCCCGTCCTGGACATGCCCAAATTCATGTTCGTTGCATTGATGATACTGTCTAACCATCTCATCACTCTGCTGTTCCCTTTTCCTTTTCCTTTCCGTCTTTCCCAACATCAGGGTTTTTTCCAAGGAGTTGTCTCCACTTATTAAGTGTCCAAAGTATTTCAGCTATAGCTTTAGTATCTGTCCTTCCAAGGGACAATCAGGGTTGACTTCCTTTAGGATTTTAATCTCCTTGCAAATGGCAGCAAAAAAACTTAAGAAGGGGGCTAGTGAATTTAATTCTTTCCTAACACCAAAACGTAATTGTCTTTTCTCTGTAATTATCTCTGTTTGCTGGCTCATCTCCTCTGTGTTTTGCTTCCTCTTTCCTTCTCTTCCCTTCCCTTCTCTGAGTAGCTCTTCTGTTTCCTGTGGGTTTCATCTTTGGCAAAACTTTTAGGGACCAAGTACCCAAACTGCAACCCAAAACCTACTTATTGATTGCAAAGTGCCAACATGGCAAATTTAACCTGAATAATGAGGTTTTACTTCATTATTAATGATAATAGGATTAATGATAATAAAATAATGACAAATAAGGCAGAATTCAGCTAATTGTTCTAAGAAAAACGTGAGAAATACACTTTTATGCCCTTTCATTTTTTTCTGCTTTTATTGTTTAGCAACAATAAAAAAGAAAAACTTGTGTACTATCATTTCTCCCTCCCCCCTTTCTCTCTCTCTCTTTTCCTCCCTCTCTCTATCTCTCTTTTTCTCCTTCTCTCCCTCCCTTCCTCTCTCTTTCTCTCTCTCTTTCCCTCCCTCCCTCTTTTTCTCTTTCTCTCCCTCCCTTCCTCTCTCTTTCCCTCCCTCCCCCTCTTTCCCTCCCTCCCGATCTTTCCCTCCCTCCCTCCATCCCTCTCTCTCTCCCCCCACCAGGGGAGAAACATGATGGAGTTGGCTGTGGCGACGGCTCATGTGCCCACAAAAAGGGCTCTGAGTGTCACCTCTGACACACCTGCCATAGGTTCACCACCACTGGCCTATGATATGGCTGCTTTTGTGTATAGCTAGTCCTTGATTTACAACTGTTTACTTATGACAAGGCAAAGTTGCAATGGCATTAAAAAAGTGACTTATGACCAACCTTCACACCTCTGACAATTGCAGTGCCCATGGACATGTGATTATGATTCAAGCGCTGGGCAAGTGAGATATATTTATGAGGGTTGCAGCATCCCAGGTCCCTTGATAACTTTAAATGACTTTCCCAGCTGGCTTCAATGGGGCAAGCCAGATTCTGTGGTTGTTTTTTTAATGACCATGGAAAAAGGGCCATAAAATTGGGTGTAACCCACTTAACAACCACATTGCTTAGCACCAATTAAGAATAATTAGCTTTGCCCCATTTTACGACCTTTTTTGCCATAGTTGTTAACCGAATTGCTGCATTTGTTAAGTGAATAATATGGCTGTTAAGTGAATCTGGCTTCCCCAAGAAAGAAAAAGAAGAAAGAGAAAAGAAATACCTAAAGCCCTCAGTTCAAACCTTCATTACANAAGTTCTGCCTTGGACTCTGATTTAATTTTGGATGATATTTGGAACGCTGACAGTAGGCCTGTGTTCTTACAGCCCTTACTGCTGTCAGATTAGGGTTAGGAACTAGTGTTGGGGTTAGAGTTTACTGCTGAAAGATTAGGATTAGGAGTTAGGAATTAGGGGTGGGGTGGGGGTTTACTGATGACAGATTAGGTCTATATATCTCCTCCACCAGAAAGGCTTCAATACTATTGGCCTTGACTAAAATTGAATATTATCCCAAAGTATAAAAGAGATCTCTGGAGCTAGGAAAGAAATGGGAAACATTTGAAACTATTATTAATGATGGGCAGATGGATATTCCAGGTCAATCTTATCTAGAGAAATATTATTTTATTCTTGGCCTGCCATTCTAAAAGCAAGCTTCCTGATATTTACTAATAATGGTTAAAGTTTTGGCTTATTAACTTTCCAAGATTCCATATGCTAACCCTATATCGGTAGTCCTTGACTTACAACATTTTGTTTAGTGACCATCTAAAATGATAATGGCACTGAAAAAAAGTGACTTGGGACCATTTTTCAAACTTATGATCACTACTCACCTAGCCTGCAAGTTGATTTATAGTAGAATCCATAAGGACACTGGTAGATAATCTTGCTGTAGAGCTGGAGACACGTAGCACCATAGGTAGAGTTCTGATCACAATAGGATTCTAAAGGAAAAACAAAAATAAAATAAATGTATTAATAAGGTTCATCATCATTTGCCTGGACGGGTTTGTTTTCTTAGGCTTTGTGCTGACTCTGCTGAACAGGGGAATCACTAGATCTTCTCCTGGGTAGCAAGAACCAAAAGTTTCACTTAGAGTGCTGCACACCAAGACAACTAGATACAAGAACAGTTTATTCCCAAACTCCATCACTCTGCTAAACATATAATTCCCTCAACACTGTCAAACTATTCACTAAGGTTGCATTACTATTACTATTAGTCTTCTCATCATTCCTATCACCCGTCTTCTTCCACTTATGACTGCAGGACTGTAACTTTGTTGCCTGTATCCTTACAATTTATATTGATATTGATTGTTTTCTGATTGCTTATTTGTACCCTATGACTATCATTAAATGTTGTACAGAGGTGGGTTCCTACCAGTTCGCACCGGTTCGGTAGAACCGGTTCGTCAAATCTACCGAACCGGTGAGAAGAGGT